AAAAACAGTCCTAGGACCAAAAAAATGCACACAAGGGCATATTTACTGCAAGTAAATGTATTTTAATGTATATTAATGACAAGTTTTATACTTCCTACATTTTGTGATGTCACAAGCCGTACGACAACCCACCAGAACCTGCGTTCAGCCCCTTACCTAGCAAACCCCGGGTGAAGCTCCTCCTCCTCCGTATAAAAAGCCGTCACGGTGTTTTGTAATGTGCAGCTCATTTTATAACAAGCCTCCAATAGCACAGTGGGTAGAGTGTTGGATCAGAGGGTGGGAGACTAGGGATTGAGACCGACATGGACACAAAAAATAGAATTTTTTATTTTCGTTTGTTATGAACACGTTTTCTCATGTACTTTTATTGTTTAGCTTATTAAAGCCTTGTTAAAGCCTAATTGCCAAAGTTGAGTAAAAAAAACCTTTTAAAAGGTGGATTTTGCATAATAGGTCTCTTAAGTCTCTGTATTTAACCTATCATGCATGTGAACACACGTGCAACATGGAGATCAACCTGGAGTTGAACCGGCAACCTTCCAATCACAAGCTTGGCTTCTCTACTCCCTGCGCCACTGCCATAGTTTGTGATTTCTGAGTTCAAGTCTTTCTTGAGTTCAACCAAAATCTTAAGCGTCAACCAAAAGTTTGAGATTCAACCAAAAGTTTCTGTTTAGCAAAAACATTTTGATAGTTTTTTTTTCATTGAAATAGCTTTTTTGTTTGGTTGATAAAACTTTTTTTTTTGGTTGAAATTATTTTTTAAAATTGAAACTGCTTTTTTAGTTTGGTTGAAATTATTTTTTTTGGTTGAAAATATTAATTTTGATTGAATTTATTTTTTGTTTGGTTGAAAAAAATATTTTTGATTGAAATTATTTTTTTGATTGAAGATGCTTTTTGTTTTGATTGAATAATAAAAACACAAATTTACCTCCATAGAACACGTGCACCCAGACAAAAACATTATCACCCTTTTACTTTTCGGATAAAAAAGGGAATACTTTTTAAAGCTGTGT